CTCTTTTAAATGAAACCAGAGAGCGTTGACAGAGAGGAGAAGGTAGAAATGACTCAGCCTGTAACTGAAAATATAGATGGAGGTCAACAGAGCTGCTTCATGGAAGAAGAACCTCAACTTAGCATGTTAGACCTCACGCTATATTGCCTTATATGTATTAGCTCAGCGCTAGCGTGACAAACAAGCTAAACTGAGGTCCTCCATCCATATTTTCAGCTGCAGACTGAGTCATTTTTGCATTCTCGTCTCTGTCATGTGGATGGAGGACCTCAGTGATGAGAGGAGAATGTGTAGCGCTGAGCTAATACATATATATGGTGATAGCATCAGTGCTAACGCCAAAGCTAACAGGCTAAGCTGAGGTTCTTCTTCCATGAAGCAGCCTTGCACTGACCTAGTTGATGTCATCGTTTACCCAGAATGCTTTGCGTGTAAATAAAATGGCCCCATCTGTGTAATATATTTTTAAACTTTTAGTTTAAAAAATATAAAAACTAAACAGCCTACAGTATTTTTACAGTCTTTATTTTACAGTTAAAGTATATGTTTATCATATAAAGTCTAATGTTACAACTAATCTGGGATCCCTTTAAATACAATTTTTGTTTGGTTATTGCCCGCTGCTCATAGTAATAATCTTTGTTAGTGTTAGCAAAATATCTAATGAATGACAGATTTTATTTAAATTCCAAGATGGCCAGCACTGTTTATCAAAATCAGCCACCACACTCAGCCAGAGTCACAGATAAAGAGCAAAAGTCTGGTTGATCGAAGCTGAGTACCGTCCCCAACAAATACTGAGTCACACACATTGTGTAATATTTTGCCTAAAACTTTGGCATAAACTATTGGCATCATCAGTGACAGTAGTCTTTAGACATACATCTGCAACTCATCAACCTTTGAAGTTAACCCAGTTCAAGATGGCTCCAATAGTTTATTGATCTTTGCCAACACATAAAAGAGCTCACTTTGTCAATTTGACAGTTAATTAAAATCTGTTAGAGTAATTACTGACAATTAATTGCAGTTTATACTTCAAAGAACTACTAAGTCAAACAAAATCTCACAATACCAGTCATCATGTTATTTAGAAGTTTTAACCAATGTGGCTTTGGTGCAGCTGGTCATTTGATTTTTAATTTGAAGTGCTTTTTCTTGTTTTGATCTTGTTTTTTGTCTCTGTTTTTGAAGTGCACTGTCAGTGTTCCGGTCCATACATTAAGCATCCCACCAGGCCCCTGCCAGCCACCAAGGATTGTGGGTAAAGCCAAACACAAGGAAGTGCAGTTGGAATGGGGTGAGCACAGACCTATACATACATTGTGTTTAGCTTTATTCACCCAAACATAATGAAACTTCTCTGACGAAGCAGATAAATCACCTTCTGTCTGCCTAATAAGCTTTACTGGCCAGCTCTAATAAGAGCCGTCAAGCCTGTTTTAGCCTAACTGAGCTGTAATCCAGCTCATTAAATTCCCAATCTACTCTCGTATCTGGCTTAACTCGCCTAATGTCAGCCCATTATTGCAGGTTAGTACTGTTGGCTGCAAAAGTCTTTCAGGCTGCAGTGCTGAGGAAGTTTTTTCTTCAGCCTGTTTGATACAGCTGGTCACATCACTAATCAGCTCCAATTCAGGCAGCGCTGCTGCAATTACTGGCTCCAGTTGAAGGTCAGACATAATGTACTGAAGGGTTTTCCCCAAAGCGCTCATCATTTATTGCTTTTATCCAAAGTGAAGCAGATGGTGGAGATAGAAATGTGAATTGTATCGTCAAACAGTATGTAGAAGATACAGATTTAACCATCATATTTTATAAATCTTTAGATGCTCCTTTATAAAGATTTATGTCCTATCTGCCACGACTTTCACTACTGAGGATTTAAAATGAATGCAACCTGGAGAGTTTAAAGGCTTCCCTTTCCCTGACGTACTTTTTCTCTGCCCCCCCCAGACTCGGCGGTGTGTGAAGGTGTGTGTGAAGAGTGTGTGTACAGTCTGGAGATGAGCGAGGGGGACACCAAGCCAGCAGAAGTGTATCACGGCTCGGCGCTGCAGTGCACCGTCGCAAGTTTACTGCCTGGTGCGACGTACAGCTTCGTACTGAGAGCTGCCAACGAGGCCGGGGTGAGAGGATAAGAAGTGCACATCTTTTGTCATAGGGTTCTGTAAAAAAATTAAAAAAAACAACAACTTCTAGGCCTGTAACTTCAATAAACAGAGGAGTTCCAAAAGAACCAATTGAAAATGCCACCACATGACAAAAAAGCAGTGTTGTATAAAGTACCTCAAAGTGATACTTGAGTAAAAGTACAAGTATCTTTATCATAAAAATAC